AAAATATATACACGGTGATACAATCAGAAATTTACCCTTTAATGCAATGTTATGTAAGTAATTGTATTATTTATTGGATGCTGTTGAAAGCTGCTCAAATGTTATGAGATTGGTGCTCAGATGGTTTGTGTGTGTATCAACCCTCAAGTTGAATGTCTTGTTCTACATTAGCATTACTTCTGCCATAGAGAGCATTTTATTGTTGTTATAATATTTTACATTCATTGAAATCAAATGTTCGTGAAATGGATTTGTGCTGGCTTCCTATACACCCGTACAACTGGTGACTCAAAAATCAACTCTTACAAGAGCGTTTGGTTTTAAACATTTGAAATAACTTTTTGAGAAATCGTAACATTGGATGCTTTTTTGCTTTTGGAAGCTTTTATTGATAAAAAATCCATGGAGTTCTGAAAGTTATCAGTTGCGAACCCATAACTTAATTTTGTTACTAAAGGGTCGAGTTTGAGACCCTTGGGTTATATAACTGGAGGTAATATTTGGATAAAATGAGATTTGAATTAAGAATAAAGATGGATTGTGTTACGTTAAGAGGTAAACTGATTTGCTCTGTGGTCTGTATGGCACAGTTTATGTATGTGACTTTGTGCTTCAACGTAATTAAGTCCAAAGCATTGTGTACAATGTAGACTGTTTGCAATTGTTTTGTGTACAATGCTCTAAGTTGTTTGTAACATAAATGTACATGGATCAGTCTGTTTATGTGAAGCACTGTTCTGTTTTGTTGAATAAATCTTGATTCGTTTTGTACACTCTGGTCAAATGTGTAGCCATACGGCACAGGTTACAAGGGAAACAAATTACAGCTGCTGGTTTTGTTAAAAAAAAAGTTCCTTAAATTCTCTTTCATGTTTAAAAATGTTCCGAAGTTAGTAGACATCTTGGTCGAAGCTCACGACGTGATTTGAACAGAGAGTACCCAATCAGTTCTAGATTTATTACATGCTAGAATGCACTATGTAGCTTGAGAAATGTGTCTTACATGTCTCGTACATTGTCAGGTAAACCTGACCATAACACGAGTTAAAACAGTATTGAAGTTTTCCTTTGTATAATTTCACATGTTATCATAACGCATCGTAATATTTCTGCAAGATGGCCACCGGGACGGCGCAAATCATGAAGGCTGAAACTCTGTACATTGAATGATCTAAAGTAAATTCTAGTAGTCTAGACTGTCTGCACACTGACCGTAGCCTGCCTGGTTGTGTGGGAGGTTCGACAACGGTCACCTGCTGTCACAGTTTCGTGTGCGATGCGATCATACCATGTACAGAGTGACGGTCCCGTAAGTGTCCGTTCTCGCTCGGTCGTCTTCATGCAGAGCTGCATCATCTTTGTTGTAAACATTGATCAGCGATCACATTGTCCATCACATCATTATCGAGATTTTTACAGAGAAAATTAAATAAATATTCCAAGTAAGTCTGCATTGTTGTTATATTTTAGTGTGAAAGTTGTATGAAAATTGGCCTCTTGTTCGCCGGAAGTGGGGGAGGGCACATTCTGTTCTGAAGACCCCAAAAATCTCCCTCGATAGTCACCTCCTATGCACCGGCCTTTGGCAAAGCATTTATTTGCAACATCCTGTTGGTCAACTTGAATTTTTCTGACTGAATTCTTCTACTAAATTTGATGGAACTTCACAGTTATTTATGACGACAATCTTGAGACCAGTTGAAGGTCAAAGGTGAAGGCTTTGGTCTCGGCCACAGGGACAAGACACAGACTAACCCCCATCCCTATATGCCTAGACACTATATAAGCATATAGGGGATGGGGGTTAGTACGTGTCTTGCTCCCTGTGGTCTCGGCTACATAATCTTTAAATTATCATAACAAAATTGGCTTGTCCATGCTCTCCTCTGGAATGTTTGAAATAAAAATGCTTGCTCTATTTTGATCCAGAGAATAAAATTTGGTAAATATGTACACCATGCTGTCAATTCTAGTATATTGATGTTTGCAGGCCTACTATGTAATGTTTGTGGTACTCGTGTCAATTTTGAAAGATAAGACGCAACACACACAGGTGACTACACCTTTAAAAGGCAATACCTTAGATACAGTATGCAGAATTACACTACATCATACAGCTGTTTATGTTGTTCAAGGGTTCATCGGTGATGCTATGGACCAAATTGTCTAAACTTCTGTTGAAAGAGACACCGGGGCAGGTGCATAAAACACCTTAATTTATGAAATTCAAAATTCAGAGAGAAGTTCTGGTATATTAATTAATCCAAAAACATATTAGTTTGTAAAGTGTGTATAATATGAAACATGCCAATATTCCAAAGAGAGAACTGGCCAAAAGGCCTCCGAAGCGCCAGAACATTGCGGAGGGTCAAAAAACCTCGGGAACTAAAAAATAACATTCAAAAGCAAAAGAGATATTCGGAATGTATTTATTTTGTAAATGATTTGATTAGGATTGTACAGAGACTGTAAGCAGAAACATGGATGTGAAGAGGACATGAGTAGTCTATAAATAACAAATATGCAACTACTGGTGTACCAGTGAAGGTATTCACCTTTGAAAAAAGCTGCTTTTACAGGTCAGGTAAAAATAAAAATGAAAAAAAAAAAACAATCATAAAAATTGCACAAATCCTTTTGATAGATTAAATCCTGGAGCACGGGGTACATATCGTGATTGACAAAAAGAATATATAAATATGCTGACTTTTAACCATATGTGGCAAATTTTAATTGTACATAGAATTACAGTCGCCTTCTAGCTTCAACTAGAGAGAATTTCCCTTAAACTCGGTGGTAGGGTGTCGGACTGGGATGGCAGGTTCGATCCCCGGAATCACTCGATTCTCATTTCTGTTACACATATTATTGTAAAAAAAAAATCTCGGTTGCAATATGTACCAGTGTCTGGAGATAAAAACTTATATCATTTCATTACGATGTTTATGAAGTAATAATCTCAACAAGAAAAAAAGTAAATTACATGAAAATGCAGGAATAATTAAAAAAAGAACACCTATGTATGTAAAAGAAAATTTTAATAGTGACATCTCGTGATCTGTTTGGTTGTGAAATGTTATATCCAACTGATGTCTCGTGTTGATCACAACTTTGAAATAGAAGGGAGGTAACTCTCCCCCAAAAAATATAACCAAAAATATATTTACCAGATACATATACACGGGAAGCATTATAATGCTGACAAATCAATTGTCACTACGATAAATCAATATACATGTATGTCATGATAATCATAAACAAGCTTTTTAATGTCTTAATATGACAAAAAAACACCACAGGATTTCTCGATTTATTTTTGACAGACAAAATGGTTACATGGTGTTGCATTGGACCGATGAAATATATTGTCCATTTCTTGAATGTACAGACAGGTAATATTCAGACTACGGTGTACCATACCATGATACCAAGTTTAACATGTATATTTCACTTTTCGTTAATATATTTTTGTTCCTTTTGAGGATAATAGAATGTGAAATTACACGTGTTACAGGTCAATCCCTTAAGAAAACAGAATATAGACAAATGAGATTTTAATTTAACAGATACCTAATTGTCATTACGACAGGAGATCTCGTAATTTCTCTACAAACACCTGTAGTATATTGAGACAGCTTAAAAGATTTTTATAAATAGATTTCTGTGTTAGAAAATCAATGGAGAGTTATTTTTCCGACAAAGAAAGAAAGCTACATGTTATGAAGTAAGTTTGTGAATAAATTTCATTGGTTTGGGTTTATCAAGGAATTAAGTTTCTTTTACAAAAAAACACAGTGACTGATATTGATGATGTGTTTGTATTGAACTCATTCACCCCTGAAAACACATTTGAACTCATCCAATTCAAAGCTTGGCCTAGTTCATTATGAAATTTCAGGGGTGAATGAGTTAAACAACAAGAAACCTAGCATGATTTCAGCCTCCTCTAAATGACAAAGATTATACTGGAAGGCTTCAGGATCATAATTCAGTTTCTTGTGTACTGAACCAAATGAACGTAACAGATTTAAAATTTTGACAAGCCAATTACATGGTACATGTACTAAATTAAATTTAGTAATATGTAGAGCCGACACTTAGAACACAGATTATCGTAACAATATTCTACAACATTAGATAAATGATGTCATGAATTTATGATCAGTACATGAAATAACACTAGACAGATGATAACAATGGACTGGTCCATCCACGTCTGTATGACAATTCAGACCACATACAGCAGTTATATGATTATACTGTATTTACAATTTAACTAATACACCCCGGAAATTTCATAATGAACTATTCCAACCTTTGAACTGGAAGAGTTCAAATGTATCTTCAGGGGCGAATGAGTTGAGGTAATAACAGTACAGAAAATATGTGCCTTGGTCATGTGACATATCACATGACCACAAAAATAATCATAGAAACCAATGTTGACACTATGTATATGTCAAAATATGGTTAAATACTTCTACCTAGAATAAGTACTGCATATAGGGAAATTTTCGCTTCCGTTAACTTATTCACCCCTAAAATTTCATAATGAACTATTCCAACCTATGAATTGGAAGAGTTCAAATGTGTCTTCAGTGGTGAATGAGTTAAACTGTCACCTATTTCTTCCTCCATATCAAGACCAAAGGACTCGGGGCGTTAATGGTCATTTCCGGCCTCATCACAGATTTTGAATAAGTTGTTACATTCGTAATCTCAAATAAATAAAGTACGCAGATATGAAATTTCAAATTCATAAGACAACTGGAACAGGAATATGGCATAACAAAGAGGTGTAAACCTGCATGTTGCATAATGAAATGTGCAAAATATTTACATTGAAAATTGGCCATTTTGAAGCAAATTAACTAAACACTCTTAAATTTTGAAATCCTACCATGCAACAAACAAATCAATATTTACCATGCTAGAACGTTGTTATACCAGTGTTCATTTTAAGAAAGAAATATTTGGTTGTCGCATGAGGAGGCTTTCATTTCTGCATGCTAAATGTCCAAAAACACCATATTTAAGCTTTTTCTGCATAGCAACACAATTTTGTTGCTATGGTGATGAAAAAATATGCACCAGGAAAGATAGCCACATAAAAGAAATTGGTAAATAAATTCAAGTTAAATATTTTATTTTTAATGAGGCCAAAAAAACCATAACACCCTAAGTCCTTTAACATGACAGCAACCATAAGTAAGTATTATTTCATGCGTAGTAATAATGTGTCAAGGGTGTACTTAACAATGAGAAAATTTGATTTTACGTGTACCATGCACTGAAAAGTGAAATATTAAATCGGCAAATTCTTCCCTGTACACAGTAGTACCATTGATCCACACATAATATTTCCCATATCCTGTTAGTATCACACACCAAATATGAGATCAGCATTAATAATAGTCACTACACAATTGTATCTTATGATAGTGACATTATTGTCTAATAATTATGGAAGAACTACAACCTTTTCTACAAAGCTGCTATTTGGGAAAATGTCAGCATTTACTGGTATAAAACCAGCCAAACCTGTATTAACTCAGTTACCCCTGAAGACACATTTGAACTCTTCTGATTCAAAGGTTGGAATAGTTCATTATGAAATTTCAGGAGTGAATGAGTTAAGAGCCCACCCATGGGAAGTTCAAAAATTGGTTTCTTGTTGACACAGATGCTCTCTTAACCCTTTCACCACTGTAGACCATAATGGACTCATCCAGATCAAAGCATGGAAGAGTTTACTAAAGTTACATAGGGGTGAAAGGGTTAATGAAAGTTCATTTCACAATATTGGAATATTTCAAACTACAAATCCTGACTTTAGGCCTCTTGTTATCCAAGGAAAGAAAGATTTTCATACATTTGACTACTGTGACCTCGCCCAGATACTCCAGGGGTTACGCTCACTTCGGCTCTCTGCACCCTTGGAATATTTCATAGAAAAATTGAAGGCAGACGGATAGCTATTGGATTTAGGTCCCTGGTAAAAAGAACCTGACCAATCACTAGACTGATACCTGTCCTATGAATATTACAGAGAAGCAACACCCGCCTTCAAAGCCAGTCAATTTTACTGTTGCGCGACCGCGAGATTATTTCGATGTACACCGAAGGAACTAGTCTTCCTGTCTCATCCACAAGGTGGCGCACACTGAGCCTTCAATTTTGTCGTGACATATTTCAGGGGTGTAGCGAGCATAGGTGAGCATCGCAGATGCTGTGACATTGAAAGTGGGTCAAGGTCATTTATCTGAACAAGATGAAGGCCCTTAAAATCAGCACCCAACAGGCCAAATATTATGACCCAAGGTAATGTTATAATATGTAAACAAGTCATGGGTAAAAATTGTACAGTTTCAAAAGTTTGAAAACTTACTCATTAAAGAATTTCTAGAAAATGAAAGATGGGCCAGGTCTGATATTTGTTAAGAGCGACTGTGAACAAGAAAATTAACACACACGACAAAACGCTATCACTTCCACCTTTACAAAGCATATTTTATAACTTCACTGATGCATATTGTGTCAAAAGGATGTTGAAACCCGTAATAAAATATAACAGATAATGGAACACGGTTTCTTTCGAGAAAGTGTTACTTGGCAGCACAAGAAGTAAAAACAGCACGACTGGTTTGATAAATTTGGCCTCAGAACGTGGAAGTACGTGATGAACACTACAAGATACAGTTATCAATGAGTAACACATGTTTTAGCATTAAAGATGTGTGTGTCGTCATGGTGTTATGATCTATGTCCTTTATACAGACATGACCTACATCTGATGAATAACAATAATGAAAAAATAATGTTATACAATAAAACCTCGATATAATGCCCCTTGTCTCATCTGCCACCTCGCGTACGCCATCACCTTTCAAGGTTCATTTTTCTTGTTTTCCTAAGAACTCTTTTATACATTTCCCTCAAATTATCGCCAAACCCCTTTATAACGCCAAAATCTCACAGGGCAAATTGTGGCAGTATAACGAGGGTTTACTGTATATTGTATCATGCAATTGTACACATATCTTTGTACAGGGTATGAATGTAACACATCAGTAAGTATTTTCAATTTGACAATATGATAACCTTAATATATTATACAAACATATATATTTAAGTTAGGAAATAATGAAAAAAGTGTAAGTTACATCTCACAGAGCAGAAAAAGAAAAAAAAGACTGAATGAAAATTATTTTGTAATATCAGTCTTCACAGAAAGACACTGAGAGTATAACTACAAACCCTGGTTTCCCCCGGCAACCTCATATTTCATTTTATCCTAGCAACCCTTAGTCTCCATAGTAACCATGCATAACTAACATGGCAACAGTATACCACATGACCAACTTTCTCCCAGATTCCTTCTATGGAAAAGTCTTCATCTCATCAAATCATCTTGCACCCATTCAAATGTTCCGTCATATTTCACTGTCCACACTGAGGAATATTTTAAAAGCACCGGTTATTGTTCATTTAGGGCAACAGGGGTTATCCACCATTAAGACCACGTCTATGCCGTAATGTTCAACAAGCTCCATGAGAAAAGAGCGGTCTCCGTATGGGTCGAGGCCCATGCTTTTCATGTGTTCTGATGTGAGTTGACGGTCCTGTGACATGGAAACATCTAAAAGGGTCTGGAACAGTCGGTTGTTTAGTTCTGTGAAAAACCTGAAAGAAATATGAAATTTCTCACATCACTTAAAGGTTATGTAATAGTGGGTCCTACGTATATAGACTTACTGTTAATGTAATATCACCTGGTGTTATATAATATATATATATGTAGCAGTGACATTTTCTACTCATGCACTGCTTTTAGGAGGGACCGTGTAGCACATCTTGGCCCAGGTGTTCAAAAAGGTGATTAGTGTTTTTTATTTGGAAATTAATATATGTGCATTGAAGATTTCACATGAAAAAGGTTGATCTGTTTGGGCAACATACATTGTATGTTTGACTGGTTGAAGCAGGTAAGAAAAAACCGACCTGAACATATTACCAGGTTCTAAACTTTATGTATGTGTTTTAGTGTAATTTTAGTTTTAGTGTAATTGGCCGAGCAACAATGCCCCGATATTTTAATATGGTAGGGTTTGTTTTAAGCCTAGAACTAGATTTTACAGTAATACCTGAAGCTGGATTTTTTTTACTGCTCTGTAAGTTAGATAATTCCATGAAAAGTGCAAAATGGCACTGCCACAAAAATTACCCGGTATACAGTAACTTTTGAAGAAGCCGTATTGGACCTTATACTTACATAGTGAAGAGTTCCTCTTCATTGCACGCCTCTTCTCCGAGCTCTTCATAGGAGAATTGGTGGGCAGACCTGAGTCACGGATCAACAGACAAAATGATCGATGTACGTGTAACTCCGATGGACTTTATATAATTATGCGAGCTGAACAGGCTTTGAATTAGTCATACATGTATACTGTATATACGTAAAGGTGATTTTTTTAAGGTTCAAATTTTTGGTGCATTTTCAAATTTATTATTTCAAACATTATGGGGCTGCTTTATAATCAGCCAAACAATTTTAGTAATACAACAGAAATTTTGAAAAAAAGCAAAAAAGAGCACTTTTTACAAGATCTATTCCATATTTGTGGAAACAGTGATGACCAGAAGAGGGCAGATGGGCCTTGACACCTGGGCCATTTTTGTTTATTGCGATCCCAACTGTTTGACTGGTTGGACCTGAGTGGTTCGTTTTTGAAATAAGGTTGGACCTAGTAAACTGATGCTGTTTTCAGGTGGGCCTCGACAAGTCTTGATAAACATTTGCAGAATTTATACCCGAAATTATTACATTTATAAACGGTCAAACCGGTTGTTCCACAAAAATGAACAGGCCCCTGACCTTTATTTTTGACCTTGACCCTCATACCACTACTCCCCAAAGCTTTGCATCTCCGCCCATGAGGGTCCCTCCCCGATATATAACACTACCTTATATATGCTCTTCCACTTCCACTTCACGTCATTAATTAACCAACAGTTAATTATGAAATATCACATTTTTTTGCAGAATTCTCATATATATATATGTGTGTTAACAAATAAATCATTTACTTCAGATCCCAATTTGAACAGGCTAGCACTATAATGTCTGAATTCTTTAATTTTAATATTCCACCCACCTCTGTTTTGCCCTTACCTTTGATTGTTCAGCTTTGCATACTTATCGCGATCAGCGTCGCTGACCTTTAGCATGTCCTTGAGGATAGGGGAGTGAGACTTAATCACCTGGTTGTCTATATAAACGTCGTATAGACAAGTCTTCATCTCAAATATTTTCTCCGTCGTACCTGTCGAGGAAGGGATTTTTTTTAGGCATATATGTCAGAAAATTCATAAAGTAACATGATTTCATAAAGATGATCTTTGAAATTCAAGGGTTATATGTTTTTGATAACATATCTTCTCTACACTGAGAAAGTAACTCCTGGAATTTCAAGGAAAAAGAAACTGATACATGTTTATTTACCTTTAAGTTTAATTCCAACGAAATAACTGTTTTTTTAAATACATCAAGTTTTTGTTTTCTTTTATTTCAATTTACCACAATATTTTATTTCAATATTAAGACACGAGACCGCTGGTTTCGGTTTCATGAATCACAGATGTGATGATTTTTTCCTCTATCAAAACAGAGAATAATAATTCTATCCGTTTTCAATATGGAAGCCAATCAGAATGCCTCTACGTGGTTTCTGAGGTTATAAAGCTGGCGATTGGAATGAGAGACAGACTCCTTCATGCAAACTGTGTAGGACAGAGAAATCCTACCCTGGGTATTTCAAAAGTGTACCTAACCCTCGGCAAGCCTCAGGTTTCACCCAAATCTAAAATACCTCTTGGGTAGAATTTACCCTATCCTTTATAACCCCGGGCTTATAATCTATAGGCTGAGTTAAGTTCAGTTCAGTTCAGTTACCGATTCAGGATCTATAAAGATCCTCTTCTCCGGACTCAAATTCATAACAGTGAAATATTCAACAAAAATAAATGAATGTGACATTACTTGCATCATTAACGTATCTCAGATCTATAATTGTATAGGAGTTCCTGGTTCTTCCAATGCTTATCTAGTCTATTTTGAAAAGACTATGTAACAGGAAAGAGAATAGTGTGCTTCCACCGGGAATCGAACCCTCGATCTCCAGGTTCCTAGTCGGACACTCTACCACTGAGCTAAAGGGAAATTCCCTCTAGCTTGAAGCTAGAAGGCGACCTTAATCATATGTACAATTGAACCCTGTCACACTACTCCCCCCTTTTTAAATGTGTTCGCCCTCGAACACCACAACCCAGGTTCTAACTCCCTGTCACTACAGAGAGGGCCAAGGACACCATTTGTAACAGGAAAGAGAATAGTGTGCTTCCACCGGGGATCGAACCCTCGATCTCCAGGTTCCTAGTCGGACACTCTACCACTGAGCTAAAGGGAAATTCCCTCTAGCTTGAAGCTAGAAGGCGACCTTAATCATATGTACAATTGAACCCTGTCACACTACTCCCCCCTTTTTAAATGTGTTCGCCCTCGAACACCACAACCCAGGTTCTAACTCCCTGTCACTACAGAGAGGGCCAAGGACACCATTTGTAACAGGAAAGAGAATAGTGTGCTTCCACCGGGGATCGAACCCTCGATCTCCAGGTTCCTAGTCGGACACTCTACCACTGAGCTAAAGGGAAATTCCCTCTAGCTTGAAGCTAGAAGGCGACCTTAATCATATGTACAATTGAACCCTGTCACACTACTCCCCCCTTTTTAAATGTGTTCGCCCTCGAACACCACAACCCAGGTTCTAACTCCCTGTCACTACAGAGAGGGCCAAGGACACCATTTGTAACAGGAAAGAGAATAGTGTGCTTCCACCGGGGATCGAACCCTCGATCTCCAGGTTCCTAGTCGGACGCTCTACCACTGAGCTAAAGGGAAATTCCCTCTAGCTCGAAGCTAGAAGGCGACCTTAATCCTATATACAATTGAACCCTGTCACAGAGATATACCCCACCCAAGGGAAGTAACCTAACAATCATATCGGGTTCTTTACCGGTGATTATATCAGTACTTACAAGCAATGTATGCCACTTCTGATTCCAACGTTTCTATATCTGCAATGTTGACGTAGAAATGAGGTTTCATGTCGTGTCCGAGGCCGGGAATATCACGGTTAGCAAGACAACACGCACAATACACTGAAAATATAGAGTTTAAAGGTCATAAATCTGTAAGAGGAACCATACGTTAAATTTAATATTTTCACATTTTACCAAACGTCATCTAGATCTATGTATTTTTACCTTATTTATCCGGCAATAAGCCCATGTCTGATAATAATCCCATTCATATATATGACAGTTCAATAGAAATGCAAACAATTGATTTTTTAATGTCCTGAAATAAGCTTATCCCCCCTGACTTTGAGTCAACGATTATTTGTTGGTCCTTAACTTATGTCGATCTTTGCCTCTAGAAATTGCATACATATTTGTACTCCTGAATAAATTTTAACTTATCAGAGAAAAAAAACATTTACAATTTTTTTGGGCTGTAGGCGAGAGGTTTTCCTCAGCAAAATGAATTAATCAAACGTCATCATTGTACCGTTGGACTTGTTATGCAAATTGGCCGGTAATTTAATTAACCAATCCTACACTCACCCCTGTAACACACTACACCGATAGGAGGAGGAGAAAAAAACAGCATCCTTCGTTGTAGTAAAGCGTACTTCCAAAGCACAAATATACGCTCTCCAAAAAACTTAATAAACTGTGAAAAGCAGCCAGCTGGGTGGGTTATCTGTAGGGGTAGAAATTGTATTTTTTAACAAGGGTACCACGAAATTTAAAGCAGAACATAATACGCCCGTCATACATTGAATGAGCAGTTGTCTGTATGGGTGTACATAAAGGGCCATTACTCCATTAATTATCGTTGGACAATGGTGGTTATCAAACTTGTCTGAGCTATTATCATAATGAACCATGCTAATAATTTTGAAGTTAATCCGTAGAAAACTACTCAAGATATCGAGCGGACACTGTTTCAGCAATAAAGGGCCAAATCTCCATAAAATACGGTCCGATAATTGCCGTTATCAAACTTTACCATTGGCCATTACGTTTGAAATTAATCAGTAGAAAAGTAATCAAGATATCGACCAGACACAGTCCGCCCGCTCACATGATAACATAATGCACCGTGTTATTGGACGGGCGTATAAAAAGTAAAACTTTGAAATACATATGCAAGACCACACACTTGTTTTTTTCTAAAGAATCTGAAAGCACATTTTTATTGCATGGACGAATATATATGCATATACGCAATAAATGAGTCCTCTCTGATTCGTTAGAAAAACACAAGTGTGTGGTCTTGCTTTTATCCCATACCTTCCGTATTTGGTAGAGATCGAAACAAAGATTTTATAAACTTTGATATTTTTTGCAAATACCGGGAACTTTTCAGTTCGCCATGACAAGGGGATTCCCATAAAAAGTAGTACCAGCTAGTAGGTAAATACAACATTCCGTATTGCACATGTGCAATACAGAACGTTGTATTTCATGGTCTGAAAATTGCTTGTATTGCTATAACAAGATTCAATAGGTATGTGATAAATAAATATCACTTTCGATAGCCAGGAGCTGGAGTTATGATGAGCGAGAGAAAGATGAAAGGCATAAGTCTAATATCATAAAATCAACAACATATAATAACGAATAATGTAACAAGCCATTCGGATTGATATGTCTCGCCTGTGCCCCGCATTGACTATCAATGCACATATCTGTGAAATAAATTTAATGTAGACAACAAATGAAATGATATGTCTCGTGCCTGACTGGTTGAAGTTTGTTTGGTCTAGCACTTATAGTTCCAGAGAAACTAACTTAAGAAATGCAAAAACTTAATGTTGATGGAGATGCTGACAAAGTCAATGGACCATGAAAGGTAGGCTGCATCCAGCATTTGATGCATGGGATTGAGATGTACTACCTAAGATCCATCTATGGTCCAAGTTTGGTTGGTTTATTATTATTATAACAAAATGTGATCACTGGAGTCCCCCAAGAACATTAGACTTTGCAGTAAACCACAGAAACATCTGTCGGATTCTGTCCGAATGACCTACGGATCCACTGACCTTCATTTCGGGGAGTTCCCTACTGGGCGTTGAGGGGGAGGAATTAGATGAAGACATTCCACTGATGGCACTGTCACTGATTAGATTTCCCTTCTTGTCATGGTAAAACGCCTGTAGCTGTGAGTAGTTGCCTGGTGTCTCCAGTTGGTGTCTGGTCGTAAATACAGGTAAATACAGATAAGTATATTGATAAATACAAGTAAATGTAGGTAAATACAGGTAAGCAGAGGTAAACGTAGGTAAATACAGGTAAGTACAGGTAAATACAGATAAGTGAAGGTAAATACAGTTAAGTACAGGTAAATCTAGGTAAATACAGGGAAGTACAGGTAAATGAAGGTAACTACAGGTAAATAAAAGTTAGTATAGGTTGATAAAGGCAGGTACAGGTAAGTACAGGTACATGTAATTGCAGGTAAATGTAGGTAAGTATAAGTAGGTACATGCAAATACAGGTAAATAAAAGTAAATACAGGTAAATTTAGGTATGTACAGGTTAGTACATGTAAATGTAGGTAAATACATGTAAATACAGGTAAATGTAGATAAGTACAGGTAATTATATGTACAGGTAAAAAATAAGTACAGGTAAGCACATGTAAATGTAGGTAAGTACAGGTAAGTACATATAAATACAGGTAAATGTAGGTTAGTACAGGTAAATACAGATAAATGTAGGTAAATACAGGTATGTACAAAAAAGTACAGATAAATCTAGGTAAAAACAGGTATGTACAAAAAAGTACAGATAAATGTAGGTAAATACAGGTAAGTACAGATAAGTACAGGTAAATATAGGTAAATATAGGTAAATACAGGTAAATACAGGTCAGTACATTCGCCCAAAATGGAATTATAAAGAATGGCCAGATCATCAATGCAATACAATTTTGACATCATAACTGAAAAGGTCTTTGGTGATGATAGAAAAGCTCTGGTGATAAATATTAGTTGCGTACAATTCAGAAGAAATCACTACTGGTACATACCTGACTTGTGTTTCTAGGAATTGCATGTGTCGGTATAGTAGCGTGTAGGATGTCGACAGAATGCCGACCGATTTCATCCTTGCTCCTCTCTCTATCTCGCTCTCCACCGGCATGTTCTCAAAACAAGCCAGGCCGTAGAGGTTCTCCATACGGAAGTATCTGTAACACAAACGGTCAAAATTACAGAAAAACAATTTAAAAAAATAAAAAAATAAAAACTTACATACACTATAAATTATTATGCATTTCAGAAATAAAATTAAACAAGAGGTCCAATGGGCCTGCATCGCTTACCTGGTATAAATCTCACACTTGTAACCTTAAAAGTGATCGTAAATAAAGCTACAGGCAAAATATCAGTATTTATAATAAAAATTCATTCAAAAGAACCTGTTATTTTTTTTTTTAAAACATTTCACCCCTGTGATTGATAGTCGAACAAAGTCATTATGTTGAACACATTTTATAGCCTTTCATCTCAGGATGCAATTTGCACAGTATCAACATCCTGGGACCCATGGTTATTCAGAAGGGGTCATTTAAAGATTTTAAACAAATTTGACGCCTGTGACCTTGAATATAAGTCAGTCATTCACTTTAACAAACATAGTAGTCCTTGATCTGACTAAATATCAACATCCTGAGCCTTTTGGTTATTCAGAACAAGTTGGTTAAATATTTTGAACATATTTGCTCCTTGTGACCTTAAATATGATTCAAGGTCAAACATTCAAACAAACTTTGTAGCCTTTCATCTCAGCATACTACTGGCCAAATATCATCACCCTGTGCATTTTGGTTATTCAGAAGAAGTTATTTAATGTTTTTCACATAATTGACCCCTGTGACCTTGAATATAGGTGAAGGTCATTCAAAACAAACTTGATAGCCCTTTACTCCAGCATGCTAGTGGCCAAATATCATCACCCTGTGCATTTTGGTTATTCAGAAGAAGTTGTTAAATGTTTTTAACATATTTGACCCCTGTGACCTTGTATATAGGTGAAGATCAATCATTCTAACAAACTTGATAGCCCTTTACTCCAGCATGCTACTGGCCAAATATCATCGCCCTGTGCATTTTGTTTATTCAGAAGAAGCTGTTTAAAGTTTTTAGCATATTTGACCCCTGTGACCTTGTATATAAGTGAAGGTCAATCATTCTAACAAACTTGATAGCCCTTTACCCCAGCATGCTACTGGCCAAATATCATCGCCCTGTGCATTTTGGATATTCAGAAGAAGCTGTTTAAAGTTTTTAGCATATTTGACCCCTGTGACCTTGAATATGGGTGAAGGTCATTCATTTGAACAAACTTTGAACCCCTTTGGCCAGCTATCATCACCCTGGGCATTTTGGTTATTCAGAAGAAGTTGTTTAAAGGGTTTTTTAAGACAATTGACCCCTGTGACCTTGAATATAATTGAAGGTCATTCATTTGAACAAACTTGGTAGCCCTTCACCCAAGCATAATACTGGCCAAATATCATCTCCCTTGGAAGTTTGGTTATCAAGAAGAAGATGTTTAAAGTTTTTAACATATTTGACCCCTGTGACCTTGTAAATGGGTGAAGGTCATAAATTTTAACAAACTTTGTAGCCCTTTATCCCAGTTTGCTTCTGGCCAAATATCGACACCCTAGGCCTTTCGGTTATTAAGAAGAAGTCGCTTAAAGTAAAATATTGACGCCGGACGGACGACGGACGACGGACGCCGGGCCACGGCATAAGCTCACTTGGCACTTTGTGCCAGGTGAGCGAAAAACAACAACAACAAAAATCAACACCTATGCTATTATACACTACAGATTTTTTTTCAAAATGCCAATTCTCTCATAGCCAATGAAATGTTTACTTCACATAACACACGTGTGTTAATTAAGCATTCAAATATTCAATGATTAAACTTAGTAACACATGGTCCAAGGGTGATATAATGTATGAAGGTTTTGGTAGAATTTCACTTTACAAACTGAATATATTTGACATCAATCACGATATGTTAAGTCCAAGCTTAAGGGATTCCTCTTTCTTTTTTTCAAATTTCGAGTTTATCGGTTTCTGCAGATACGTAACAATGTATACTCTTATCCAACACTAGTGTACCCCGGGGTTGTGTTTAATTACATTAATATTGGAGTAAAACACATCTTTTTGAAGACTGATCTATAGAAATTAAATTTAATCTCAAGTGTTTACCAAAAAGTACCCAGAAACAAGTTATAAGCTAGCAAGGTACTTAGGAAAAATTCAACCAAAAAAAACGAGTGAGCCACGTGTACTTAAGAAATGATGAAATCAACTTGCATGGCTCTGCATTTGGTAATTTACATGTTATAAGTGCCATATGGAGATTTTTGAAAATTTATTAGGAAAATGTATGGGAATGTAGATACTTCTGCCTATATCTGTCAGTATATTCATGATCAAAGCAACCATATGATAATTTAACTGGAAATGGTGATGTGATCAAATTTCAATTGAAGTGACTTCCAATATCGATCTAAATTAAATTTAAATAAATCAACGTTAACATCAGAGATGACGCTACATTTCACGGAATCCTTGAGTCTGTATACGTACTAGACAGTTTTAGTTTCATGGGTAATAGAGTTTCCTGGTTAATAGTTTCTTATTCAATTTGTGGGACTGTCCATGCAATGTTTTACCTAATATGTTGTTAATGTGAATATGTACTGTATATCCAGAAATAAGACATAAGTGTAAAAGATGTGGATTTATTAGGTTGCCTTACAAGCGTCAGCTGCAGGGAATTTTCCTTTATCTCAGTGGTAGAGCATCGGGCTGGAGAGCCAAGGGTCGCGGGTTGGAGCCCCAGCGACGGCACTCTTTATCACTATTCCTCATCCTACTACATAACGCTGCTGTTTCATTTTCACCTTTTTTGTCCTCACCATTGATGGCAAATATATCATGACTGTGAAATGAATCTTATAGTACACAACATGCACTATATAGTAATAACATGTGAAGTACAAAATTAACATTGGGCGAACATGGATTTTATCGGAAAAGGGTGAATATTTGATTTGGCGAAAGTTTCCGGTCTACAGTAATTTGTCATCAGAAATGACATTTTGTAATACTATTGCAATATTCTTTTAAATATTGCAATATATCACAATATATAAATTCAGGAGAAGTCCAACTCTACAACTTATCTATATGGCAATAGGCCCATGCCTGGTAATAAGCCCGCCCATAACTTGTGTAGTTAAGTAGAAATACAAGCATTGTTAAATGTTGTAAACTCACCTCCCTGCTTTGAGTGAGAGATTAAATGTTGTTCTCCTGGGCTTCTGTGTTTTTACTTATCAGTCATAAAAGTTGGGGGTAAATTTAAAGTCAAGCATAAATCACGTTTTTCTGACCCTTTTATATGGCAAGCCTTTAACATTTTGGGGAGTCAAATGCTATTTTAGGAGGTAATATTCCCCTGGATATGGGGGTCAACAGAAACTCTGGGCTTATTACAGGATGTTACTGATATGAACGTCTACTCACACAAAGTCCTTTGTCATGGTATGTGATCCGCTAACCATGGCCTTGAACTCCACTCCGTCGAGTTCAAAGTCCTCCGGCATGCACCATTCAATCATGTTTCCTTCAATACATAAGAAATTTGAGTTAAGGTTATATGCTACCATACTGCAAAATGTATCTCCGTTCCTAAAGAGTTCCTAAACAAACATTCATGAATAAACTTGTGGATTACCTCAAGAATCCCTGTACCGCCCTCAAATACTATAATTATAAATTGGAAACTATTTGCCGACATGACTATTTATCAAATATTTCTGAAATGAAAACAATACATTGCGAAAACTTTTATGATAAAAATATAGCAAAAAAATAAAATAAACAAAATACAATACAATTAACAGTATTCCGAGTGTAAAAATTCAGCAGGGCAAAAACTGGATTCAAACCCCTGACCTCAGATTTGTATACTGTTGCTCTAACCAACAGAGCTACCTGCCCAACAAAAGTTTGCCCTAGCCCAATTGTGCTATGGTTATACATGTATCTAAAATGAAATTAAGGGGAGGTTATAGTATACACTGTATCCAAAAAATAGAGTTTCTAGTGTTTTTCCTGCAATGGTACAGGGATTAATACCACAATGGTAATTCAGAATTGAATTAATAAGACATTTGAAAGGATTTGAAATGCAACAAAGCAATTGATTGGTCAATCAAAATGATTTGCGATGGTATAATTTGCATGTGAAGCCTGCATGGCGAATGTGGATGACATCAGTGACCATGACTGACCCCAACACGTCATGAAATTTGATTATTAATGATTTCACGAACAAAAGCATATTAACGCTGAAAGGTCAATAGGATTCCGCCTCACTTTGAATATTCCTAACGTCACAAATCTACAGCAGAGAGAATTTTTTTTTTTTTAAAAAAAAACAATTAATAACATCTTAAAATCGTCTTATTTTTCAAAGTGATTTTTAGCTGAATATTATATTTAGTAGATAACCTGCTGTATTTTGAGACTTGGGTTGGTATATCATGATTTTTGCTGTTGCAAATATCTATTTTACTGGCTCTGCTTCACGTCGCCTTTAAAGCTCATTTTGCGAGAGTATCATCAAGTATACAGCTGAAAATCTCAAAATACAATCGAGTTACATGTATCCCCTAAATATAATATTCAGGGATACCTAAGTCGGAATTGTCACTGGATCAACAAAAGTGTCATGTAACTCATGTTCTGGTATAATTGAAGACCCGTTACACTGGCAAATCGCGTAAAATAACTTCTGAGGAATAATCATCAATAACAAAATGTATAAATCTTTTGATAAATAAGACTAAATCGAGGTACTGATATTAACCTGTATAAAAACAGGTGTGACACCTGTTAATCTGTGGGGACAGTGATATTGATTGACAGAAGGAGGGGTGTGACAGCTGTGGGACACATTTGAACTCTTCCAATTCAAAGGTTTGAATAGTCCCATCGTGAATTTTCAAGAGTAAACAAGTTAAATATGTAACACTGAAGAATATCACTCAGTACAGCCAAAGTTCCTGACATGACCTACCTTACAAGAGGTCAAGATGGCCTGTATAGCTCACCTGGATACTAAAGCAATCATAGCAAAACATTCTCTTAAAGAATTAAATACTACCAATATTTCCCAATGTGGGCACAATCTCTCAGTGTTTGATTCCCTGGTCCAAATCATGCCTTGTAGAAAATTTGGTTGAAATATGATCAACTGTTTAGGAGGAGTGGGCTTTCAAATGCTGAATTCCCAAGCCATTGTGACCTAGGATTCATAGGAATCATAGTTTATGTATATATGTGTATATGGTTATACGGTAGGGATTTTGACGGTTTCCACATATGACCTAGGGACTTATTCTCCAGGGCTAGGCCAGATTTTTTTTACTTATCCTGGTAGCCTGATTTTGTTCATCTATCCATGACCAGCAAGCACATATTTGATCAAAGGATGGGTATCTCAACCATTTCCATGGCATGGCCCTGGGAGTCACAAAGGGAAGGGCTAGATCAGTGGAATAATTCTGGTAGCATGATTGTGTTTATTGCTCATGCTCAAAAACCATATTTGGTTATCATACAGCGACTATGCTAGTAGTATGAGAGAGTATAACTCAGATACTCACCCCCAGGGGCAGAGTCTGTCCCTGGGTCCAACCCTGATGGCACAGTTGTATTCTTCCCTTCATGCCAAGTTTCCAGGTTCTAGGTTTCCATGAAAATCCATGTTTCAAATACTGGATGTAGCAAGTATTCACAAATTTTTGGAACACAGATATATGAGTCCTAGGCCTACATTCATGAAACCATTATCATGCTCAATCTCAAATTCTGTGCTTGCTCAAGCCCTTAATTTCTTGTTCCAATTATTAGTAATAATGAAATCATATTTTGTCAACTTTTTTTTTTAAGAATTTTAAAGAGACTTCATGCCACATTCTGTTTTTAATGTTCACACTTGACCATCTGACTAGTACTATGTCCAATGATTTAAGCAAGTAACAAGAAAGTTGGTTTAAGCACAAATCCATAAATGCATGAGAACGGTTACATGATTGGACTTGTGCTTTTCCTGTTGGACTGGGGGAACCTGAATTGAGGTTTTACTCATTCACCCCTGAAGACACATCTGAACCCATCCAATTCAAAGGTTGGAATTGTTCATTATGAAATTTCAGGGGTGAATGAGTTAATAGGATGCTGTCTTCTCAGGGGAGTTGGGTGATTGGAGGATGGGGGGATAGGTGGGGAGGTGGGGGGAGGGGGGGATTTATATCATAATATTATAAATGAAGGGATCAAGGTTACAACAAGATTGGACGGGATAAGTACCGATGTTCAAATATCTCAGTTGGTAAGAGAATCTATGTATACATGTAGTTCACAGGTCCTGGGTTTGAATCCTGGTATGGATTCTTTGTACTTTACTTTGCTGTAATGTTATATCTTGTACGCATCCCATAATCCTGTTTACCTGGGACCATATAAAGATGCACCAACTAGTCATCTCACCTGTTGAGGTTGACACCAGTAAAATATCCCTGGCCTTCCTTGATCAGCTGATTTGACCAATAACTGACCAGTCATCTGACAAGAGTTTATATCAGCTTTTTTTTTCAATTGTGTAATGTGTATATATATATTTGTAATGGATTTGGACTGGGTCAATCGCCACCGACCAGGTAGCTCAATTGGTTAGAGCGTCTGTCCAGAGTTAGGAGGGTCCCGGGTTTGAACCCCGGTCTGGCCTTGCATTTCTCTTTCTCCCATTACATATGTAATGCATACTCCGTCTATTTTACTTGCCGGTATTCCATAAATTGTATAAACCGGGTACCGGTGCGGATCATATAATTGGGCAGCTGACAGGAAAAGTCACTCTTCCACTAGGTACCAGACAGGATAGGTCATAATTGTCTCTATTTTTTTTTATAAATAGATTAATTGGTTGTCTGCCGCCCTTCCTTGAATAATTTGTTTTGTTAATTACTATTTGAACACCTATTGATGCATTTTCAGTAATATTTTTGTTTATTTAGTTCTTAGTTAGGATTTATTCACTACGATAACTTTGAGGGGGTGTCAGTGACATATCACGAGAGACATACGGCCGGGTCTCAGTGGACATGTTGGGATGGCACCTACCCTACGCTTCAGCTTAAAGTTTATTACCTTGTCAATCATAGGATGTTTATAGTGATGGTTTATATGAGCAGACGTATAGAACATTAGAGATCGTAAAGAACTTAAAATGTCAGGGTTAACTTTGGCGGCCGCAATGGCCGCAACGTGGTACGCGGACACATCTCGTTTATATATTTCAGAAAACAATAGTATTTAGAATTTAAGTAGGGACATTTAATTTTTTTTAAAGCAAAGTAGTTTAAACCCACTTTGGCCACCACATGTCTTTAAATGTTGTTAATTGTTGTTCTGTCATAATAAATTGTTGGATTTTATGTCCGTCTAAGCTGTCATTGTCAACAGCCTTCTATATCTATTTGAGCAACATCGGAATCTGCAAGCGAAACACAGCAGTCGAACCCTTGTTTGAATGTAACGTGGGGTGCGGGTTGGCAGTGTGACACCGGTCACTCGTCCAAGTTGGTCACAATTAATCATAAACACATTATAATTTTATATAATAATATTATTTACATATACACCTTTCATTAATTACACAATTAAGTATATATATAATAATTATCATTGGAGGTTCTTATATACTGCTTTATCACAACCTAGTTCGTTGGTCGTCTCGAAGTGGTTCACAAATTATTATCCGTGGTTATAGGGCCTTTGCAACCAGCCAATCTCTTTCTCAACTCCATGAAGAGCATACAGCCTGAGCTGCCATTTCGGCGTTAACAGCTAGCATTCAACAATTCTAGCACTTCCCCAACCACATACTCATATTTACAGCCGAGTAGACTGGAACAAGCGGAGTAAAGTATCTTGCTCAAAGATACAGCACATAGCCGTGCCGTGGCGCGAACTCGCAACCCTTCGGTCACAAGCTCGGCGTCCTACCACTGGACTACCGTGCCTCCTAGAATATAAATACACTATGATTATATTTTTAATCAATTCTCCCTAATTCTCCTTGAAGTGGGATGTATTATAAGTGGGCAGAAGGCATCCTACAACTAGGGGTCTTTTTTTTAATATTTCTTTCCTTAATTCAAATGTTTAAATATAGATGTTGACTCACAGATTTTCATTAATGTTAAAATATTTAATCCTGCTGACATCTGTTAATAATTGTTGAAGTACATACATAAATGTACATGATAGTAAGCCTACTGTGTTGTTTCAAATAAAATTTCTTTCATAAAGCCATTGGTAAACTTACAATGTACAGTTGTGTTTATTCTTTTTTGGTCAAGAAAACGCCTGCAGCTAAACTGTCATTACTGCAACGTGTAGCCGTGTATACAAATTGGAAATAAATACATTTTATTTTGGCAAACAAACCCCGAACTAGAACGTGTCGCATTTGACCAGCTGACCCGTTGAACAGAAAGTGACATAGACCTTTCGTAGCGCACTTCCGGATACTGTGAATGCTATATATGTAATCAAAGACAATGGTGATAATATATACCTGACCGAGTGTCGAACGTCACAACAAAAACACAAACAATGTGGTCAGATTCACTCAGCGACAGGGGCAGTATGAAGTCCTCTGTCGGATCACCAAACCCAGGGAACTGTGACGGGAGGCGGTAGTTAGCTTTTCTGTTCCGTGGTCCATCATATTCATCATCTTCCGAGAACTTCAGCAGCGGGGCTCTCTCGTCCGCCGCCATGATAAAATTTATTATCGATTTGACGTTTTTAGCTTCGAAGTTCAATTTAGTTAGAGTTATCCCCCTTTCACCACCGGGAAAACAAGCACCTGCTAAGGAAAGTGGTACAAAGGGCCTGTAAATCGATGACCCGTCAACAGTAATTAAAGATAGCTTCTTGGGACAAAGTTCATTCCATTTTTAATTGGTAAAATGTACAGCAATTTTACAACACAACACAAAGTAATTACCATTAATTCTCTATAACAATAAACTTATAACATCTGTGTAAAATATTAGTATAGTAAAACGGTAAAAAATAGCTATTTACCGATGTATCACATTTTGTTTGAATAAAAATAATAAATATGAACCAAAAATAACACGGTTACTGAAAAAATATTGGCGATATCGATGAAAAAAAACCCAACAAAAACGAAAATATGCTTTATCTAAAAATTATCGGTTGTTCTTATTACTGGTATATAGGAGGTGGACTGGGTCGATCGCCGGTGACCAGGAAGCTCAATTAGTTAGAGCGTCCGTCTAGAGTTCGGAGGGTCCTGGGTTTGACCCCTGGTCTGGTCATTGCACTTTCCCGCTCCTCTTACGCTATAATAACCAAAAAATCAAAAATGATTATTTTCCACTAACTTATTGTTATAGTTTTTGCACTTGGACCGGGATCCTTTATTGAAGCTGGTTCATGTTGTTTATTTATCTCATCCAATTTGTTTACAGAAATTATGCCTAACATGCATTTTAAAGCAATTAGGTTGTTTTCCGACATAATAGTGGTCGGGAGGCGTAGTGGTTAGCGCACACGCCGTTCACCATGCAAGGGCGGGATCGATTCCATGAATGGATGTGTAAACTGGAAAACCAACATACAGACCATACAGGTAGATCAACACAAAGTATATACATGTATATGGTCAAGTCTAGCTTAATAAGGATCTATAATGATAACCAGGCGATATCACACGTAATAAATTGTATTGCTTTCATGCTGTATTGTATGAATTTAAGATGCAATTTTGATACGTAAAACGACCTTTTAAAATCTTATGTTTTCTTATGCTATACTCATTTTGATGATATGAAAACTTTATTCTCAAACAGGCTTCAAAGTCGAAATTGCTTAGCTGAGCCGTTTATTCGGTGTTGAATGTTAGATGCTGAAATAACATTAACGTCGACACAACGTTAATTACGCTTGCAAATCCCAAACAAAATCCATTGGTAGTTCAACGATGAAATTTCAACATTGAATCAAAGTTGAAAGTAAGACGTTGAAACAGCGTTGATTATGTTTGCAAAATAAAAAACCAAATTCAATGGTCATTCAACTTTGAAGATCAACGTTGATTCAACTATGATTAACCGTTGAAGTGGCGGTTGGGCTTACATGGAGAAATATGTATTCGTAGGCGTGTTAGGTGAGACACGGATATATAAACATTTCATATAAGTCTCATGGCCGTAATCTGCAGGGGCATAAGGGGCAGTTGTCCCCACAACAAATTTATGCTAAATATTCAACAACTCTTTGGGACATTCGCCTCCTTCCAATACCCCCATCCCATTCTCCCCATCCCTGGACCCCAGTTGCAATTTGCCCTAATGAGTTGTCTCGGGCTACAGGTATGAGTGTAGAACTCCGAACTATTATTTTTTGTTACAAATCTTTTCAATATTCTCTAAGCAGTGAACCCTGAAGAAATCTCCGATATTCTGCAAACCCCACTTTAATCGCCTCATACGGACATGCAGTTGGATCATACTCAAGACGTGAAGATGTAAACTTAATTAAAATAGTTTTTCTTTCGGTAACACCTTATTTTCTGAACATTCTGATTTAATTTTTGACAGATGTATACCACACAGAGCCGGAGAAGGTGATGATAAGTTCTAAAACTTTACTATATTAACAAAATATGAAGTTAATTTGTATTTTACCGATGTGATTTTGGCCCGCCATTCATACCCCCATTTAATGGGCATGTGTAGTCACCCACAACAAACGCAAAAGGGATATAGGAACTAATTTAAAACTAATTTCATATGGTCCAAATTTTAGGGTTTAACGAGAAACATTATGCATAATTATAGACAGATTTTATTGACTGGAAACCCAAAATGTAGGGGAGGGGTGTACAAGCTATGGGTGGGGGGAAAACCTGGGGGGGGGGAGGTCTCACTGGATATAGGGGGTGACAGGATAGAGAGAAAGTAGAAGGAGGAGGAAGCTAAGGCAGACGCTGGGTTGATTTTATTTAAACATATTTTATTGCATAAATGCAGCAAACAGATTAGGCACAAGTTATATCAACATTACAAAGGCCCTCTCCACAATAAATTTTACCTAAATTGAGAAATAGCAAAATTTGATCACAATGAATACCATTTTTTACATACAATAAATGAAATAATACAACAGATGTCATATCACATTAACTAAACCATTGGCTGGATTTTATGTACTTTTGCACATTTCTAAAAATTGAAGTGTTTACTTCTACCGACAGATTTTTATTTCCAATGAGCAGTACATTTCTGGGTTCACGAACGTTTCGGCGATTCCCGATTCTAGCCTGAGTTAAATCCCCACTAACTTATTCAACAGTTTCCTTAAAAGGGGTCTTTCAATAAAGGATTTTTTTAGTTCAGAATTTTCGAGAAATCGAAGTCAGGAGAGACAGGAGAAATGCATCTCGCTAACCAATGATGACGATCCGGTCCGATCTACCTACTCTTCGTGAAGAGTAGGTAGACCAGATCGTATCTGATCGTACCGGATCTTAACCCTTGGCTAGCGAAGATGGGAGAAAGGGGACATGATAGAATGTGTTGCCGCCATATTCAGTTAGAAATAGGAACACAGATATAATTGTCAATATATAAAGAGTTAGTTAATTGACCATACACCATATATTTCATGAATACTAAATATAACAAATGCTGCGGGAAAATTGACCATACAGTGTTAACAACTACCTAAAACTACTGGACAATTATAAACTTTATTTATATTACAACAATTATGAAAGAAGTTTTTACAACTTATATTAATCACTCTTGTTTGCCCGGATGTTAGCGCGCGCGCGGTGTCTTAATGTGGGAGGAAACCGGAGTACCCGGAGAAAACCCAAGTGACTGGACAGGTGACCCCATATCTTTCACAACGGACAGGGGAATCGAACCCCGACCGCCTTGGTGAAAGGGAAGTGCGCTATCCATTGCGCCACCTGACCACCGAAGCTGTACAATCGACCATACACTGTTAGCTAAATATTTTAACTACTGGAAAAAATGACCAAACCGTGTAAATCAGTAATTAAAGCTACTATACAACTGAAAGTAAGTTGTTTCGTCTGTATATTATGTTGTATTTGTGAGAACTTAACAGTAGGAAAAACAGTAAGGTACAACATTCCAAAAAGCAGACAAAATCGAACCAAACAATCTACATTTCTCTAGCTCTAGTTAGAGTTCCAAATTAATAGTATGATGCTAGTTTCAGTTTGTTTGTCCTAACGCATGTCCAGATCCGGTTTTATAGAGAGACCAGAAATGTATCTGTAAAAATGGCCATAATCTGGTGGAAGGGCATTGCGATCAATCTTCGGGATAATTTCGGCGATGGCGCCGTTCGGAACACATATGAATGGAGTCATGGAGAGTGTTGTTTACAAAAAAAAAATAGAGCAAGGTCAGGGGGTATAATCTACGGTTTGACTACGCACGGATACTTATAATATAATATAAGCTAATATTTTGACGTTGTTACTCATTTGGATCCCCAATCCTCCTTCCTCCGATATATGTGTATGTCAGTGAATATCCCAGCACCCATATGGCACGTGTCGAAATCTCGCGAGAACGTCGCAGTGGTCCTCTAATGGAACCGAAATTGGACGCGATACATTAATGGCTTAAAGCATGGGGTGATATCAAACATTTAGAAAATTCTGGGGGTCGAAACCTAAACAGGTTTCAACGCCACAAGTAGGCTCGACATATGGTAACACTTGGACCGAGAGCGGACCATAAGATCCGGCTACATGCTGATATCAGGTTTTTAGGTTCTTGAAAGTAATTTTATAAAGAAATGTCAACGGCTAATGGCTTGATATGTAGGTCGGTATAAATAGATATGTTGCAATTTTGAAGGGGAGGGTCGATATGAATGTTTGCGGTGGCACACAGGAAGAACCGGTTATCATATTGAAATCGGAAGTACAGAAAATGGCAGAATTATTTTGATGACGTGCGAGCCTTTTGGTTGTTCATTTCAACGTTCGATAAGACTGCAGCGATATCAACGGATTTTTTAAAAATGTCATTTTTATAAGAAGACCAGTTTCCACAAAAGACAAAAAATATCACCTTATCTGGTCACATTTTAAGTGTTCAAGGGACACGAAATCGGATTTTATTTGAAAAGGTCAAGGTCAAGTCAGTATTTAGCGGTCAGGAATCCTGTATTGCTAAAACGATTACAGGGTAACGGTTTCGTGAGTTGAATATATCTACGAATAGGAACGCACTTCGACTCTGAAAGGAAAAAACGACATTTAACATTAAAACAGACTACTGAAAGAATAGTCGCTGCAATCCAGCTTGCCACAGATGGTTTCCAAAGGACTCGTTATCGACACGTTTGCACCACAAATCATAGAGATTTCCCGGCCATGCGCGTCCGTAACTCAGCATGACGGCTGCTGGAACTGGTCCTACATCACCTCGAGATTATGTAAGTTAATTATGACGAACAACACGACGTCCTTAGCTCGAGACTAGCACGTGCCGTCTGATTGACGACCGCAGCGAAATACGGGGGAGGTACAGAATATAAGCACGTGGCACGTGCTTTAAATCAATATTATCTACATTTCAATTTTGTCTCAGCTGAAATTTGGGAGTCGAGTCTTTAAGACGTGTGAGGTGGGATTAAGAAAATATTAAGACTGAATTTCATGCGAGCTTCGCACATAGTCTTTTTCAATTACGGACTTTTGTTGACGTGGATATATGGTTCTATAGACCTGAGAA